CCCTTGACAGATGAATGGAGACACAAAAAGTGCTACATCCATAAACTGTGGTATTCTGAAGTCTTGAAAAGGAGTGGGTGGAATTCATCCACAGCCCAGGTGGGCCTTGCAACAATGTGCTAAGGGAAAGAAGCTGGATACAAAGGGACAAAGAGCCTTATCATTCTGCTTATGTGTCCTGGCTAGAGTGGGCAGATCCATCGAGAGGGATAGCAGAGTGGTGGACCAGAGGCTGGGGACAGGGCAGGCATGGGCAGGGATTGGGCAACTGGCAGAGACTTTCTGTTTGGAATGATGAGAAAGTTCTGGAAAGAGAGAGTGGCGATGATTGCACAACATCGGGAATGTACTTAATGGCTCTGAATTGTACTCTCTAAAATGTGAAAAATGACAAATTATATGGTTTTTTTTTTTTGAGACAGAGCCTCAAGCAGTCCCCCTGGGTAGAGTACCGTGGCATCACAGCTCATAGCAACCTCCAACTCCTGGGCTCAAGCCAGTCTCCTGCCTCTACCTCCCAAGTAGCTGGGACCACAGGCGCCCACCACAACACCCAGCTATTTTTTGGTTGCAGCCCTCATTGTTGTTTTGGTGGGCCTGGGCTGGATTCGAACCCTCCATCTTAGGTGTATGTGGCTGGCGCCTTAGCCACTTGAGCCAGAGGTGCCGAGCCGACAAATTATATGTTACATGTATTTTACCAACATAAAAAAGAAAGCCAAAAATATCTATGTCATCAAGGTGCTGTCATTCTGAAGGCAAAAAGGAAAAAGATACATAATAAATGACAAATAAAACAATAGCCAGTAGGACAGTGACTTCTTGTGTTTGAAGAAACATCATGCAGGCAAAGGAGCTTGTGTCATTTGAAGGACAGGTTCTGTATCTGCCACTGTGAGGAGGTGATGTGTGGGCAAAGATGTGAAGGTGGTGAGGACTCAGGCTCTGAGTCTGAGTGAGAGAACAGTGTTCCAGGAGGAGGGAAGGGGGACCAGTGAGTGCCGGGCTCAGGGGCAGCAGCCGGACAGGTGCTGTGGATGCTGTGTATCTGAGAGCAGATGGCAGCAGGAGGAGGGAGCAGTGGGGAGGATGGTGCAGACACCTAGAGACCTGGAGCCTTTGGGGACAGGAGACACACGACTGCACTTGCTCTGTGATAGGCCCCTGGGCTGCCGTGGTCAGGGAGACTGGGAAGAGGGATGGTGTCTGAATCAGGGAGGCAGGGCTGGGTTGAGGACATACTAGAGGGTGTGTTGAAAGTCAGGCTGACAGGGTTTTCTAATGGGTGTGGTCAGCGACATGATGGGATGACAAAGATGATGCCAGAATGTTCCCTGAGCACCCGGAAGGTAGGAGCTGCATCCATGGAGAACTGCAGAGGGGAGGGTTTGTGGGGTCGGTCAATCCTAAGAATCCCTCTGGCATCTGAATGGGGACATCAGGGAGACAGCTGGACCAGAATGTCTGGACCTCAGTGGACTGTCCAGGCTGGAGACGTTAGGCCATAACATGGGCATAGATGAGGCAAATAAAAAGGATAATGTGAGGACAGAAATTCCTCATAAAGTACAAATAGCATCAACATAATTCAACAATTGCACGTCTAGGTATGTTTGAAAGTAATTGAAAGTAGGGACCTGATCAGATACCGGCCAGCCCGTGTTCACAGCAGATTTCTTCACAAGGGCCAAGAGATGGAAGTGACCCACGCATCCAGTGATAGATGGTGGATAACCAAAAAGAAATCTGTCTCTGCAGGAGACAAAAGGAATTTCTGACACATGCTACCAAATGGAAGGACACTGTGCTAAGTGAAATACACCAGTCCCTGGCT